TTTACAACCTAGCCCACCCAACCTCTCTTCCTGAGAACATCTATGCCTCCTAGCATCCAAAAAAGTTATCCTAACCAAGTGGCTTGCTGCAAACGCCCCCTCAGTGTCGGATGTACGAGCTATCCTCTTTAGGCTTATGCTTCTGGAGAAACTAGACACTAAATTCAATTCCTGCCGGACCAGCACATTCTTCCACAACTGGAAGGCATATCTTACAACAGAACTGACTTTAGAGCAACTCAAAGATGTTATGACCACTTTCCAAACCATGCATTGGTATCTCATGGCTAAACTTGACGGCTCCCTAGGAGCCCTGGACGTCCTGTGACAGAGCCCATGCCTTAGCTCTGCCCCCCGGCAAGAGACGCCTGCCCTTGCCCCCCCCCTCCCCCCGGCAAGAGATGCCTGCCCTTAGCTTCACACTCAACCGCACTACGCGCCGCTGACCTGATAAATCATACATCTTACAGCATAGACCTTTGACACCTTTTCACATGTTCTTACTGACCCACATGGAATACATCATTTCCGGTTTTGAAGAAAATAACAAACTCTGCACTTCACGACCAAATTCTGTCTTTTATGTGTCTTTTCTTTCTTTCCTTTGGTTGGAACCTCAACCCACTCCCTGATTATCTGTTCCATCAGTTCGTTGAGGTTTTGGTTTAAATTTTTGTCCTGGTTCTTTATACCCTATAATGTGTGTTACTTCATACGTGCCCAATACATCCAGATTGTATATTGTCACTACACATCATTAGCAGCTATAGGTAGTTTTATGACTCTATGTAACTAGTTTTCATGCAAGTTACTGTTGTTGATGTGAACACGTCTACGACTCTCACTCGGTGGATGTAGTATGTTTCAATTTATACTGTATTATTGAAAATCTTAATAAATACTATCTGCTTAAAAAAAAAAAAAAAAGAATGAAGTAGCCACAATGGCTGGTTGACTGTGAAAAGGAAGTGCAAGTCACTGGAATCTAATTATGAAAGTTCAGCAAGCTCTGTGTTCTACTGATGGTAAGAAATGCAGCACATCAATAAAAGATGCCCTCATGCTGTGTAAATTGAAATAGCCGAGTCTCAGCGGTGAACTGTGTCATGAATGTTATATCAAAAAACCTTTATCATTTCGAAGCTGTTAACTTGGCAATCACAAAAGACCTAGAAGTATAATATATAGCAATAGCACATAGTGCTATATATCACTGTAAACCAGAGATTCATTTTTTTTACCTTTTTACACTCCCTTAACCACACTCTCTAATTCTTTAATGCTAAAAGTTCAGTTCCACTTTAAAGCAGACGTCTATCCAAAACTTGTTTTTTTAGGTTTGGATAAAAAAATGAAATAAATCAGAACTTTTCAGGCTTTTCAGAATTCCTCTCACTTCCTGTCATAGGTGGCACCAGTCACAAGAAAAGAAAACTAAGGGAGATCTGCCCAAAATGAACAAAGACAGCTGTAAAAACCTAAAATGTCACCAGAGCTCCACTCTTTTAGAAGAGGTAATGCCTTAAATATGGATTCAAAATAGCAAATAAACTTTAAAAATTAATGAATATGTTTATTAAGGATGAACTCCAAGGAAAGAAAAACACCCCCTTCCCACTGCAAGGGTTCACTGCTTGTTTTGCCTGGGGATGATGAATAAGGTGATATACTTATTTCTTGCTTCTGCAGGCTCCCCCGGTCCCAGTTCTCTGACATTATCCTCTACAATTCAGGACCAGCAGGATACTGAGGGCCCAGCCTAAATGCTCCTCCACAATGGGCAGCGAAGGAGCATGCTGGCTGCCAATAAAGTGACGAATAAGGTAAGTATATCACCTTATTCATAATCATCCAGGCAAAACAAGCATTAGCCCTTGCAGACCCCCTTCCCAATCTGTTTTTCCCCTGAAATTCACCTCTAAATATATACAGGTCCACAACACATTTTGAGGATCCATGCATTCTTTGCTTCACAAACCCTTCATTGAGATCTACATCACTCTTCATCTAATGCTTTCGGTAAAATTCAGAGCTGTGAACAGTTTTTTGTATGAACTATGTTCAGAATAATTACACAGCAGGAGGACCATTATAGTTGTGCAGAACCAGGAATCCAGGATTGGGTGTTCTTAGAGCACAAGATTACTGGCAGCCAAAGGATTTGATCTATGGTCTATCTGGTCTATGCAAGTAATGTAAGGGTAAAAAACAATGATTCTGAATGCATTGTGCCATGCCTTTTTTTCTATGCTCCTCAATGGAACATCCTTTACCTTGAGTCTAGAAGGGTGTTTGCTTGGTTTGGTTTAAGGTTTACTGCAAAATCTGGCTGATTATCAAGTTCACTGATGATTACCAGGCCCCGTTCCCTGCCTAATATCACTGCAATCTCAGCCAGCTAAAATGCACATGCACCTGTGACACAATTAGACACAATAATATGTGGAACACCTCCATGCACTTTAGAACCAGCATAGTGGAACACCTCCATGCACTTTAGAACCAGCTACCATAATGTCAGACACTCAACAATCAAGTAAGGAGGCCATCTTAGGGCTGGTTCTAAGGTCCACAGGTAATACTGCAAAAAGGTGTCAGACTGCAGACATGCAACAGGAGATAATCAAACTGCACACATTCTGCACGAGATTGTGAGAGACTGTGAACACGCAATAGAAATTGTTGAAGACTGGTGGCATGCTTCAGGATATGGCCATAGACCGCAGACACATTATGGAAACAAAAAAAGAGAAAAGGCATAGTCAACACAGAAAAATTATACAGGCAGTCCCCGGGTTACATACAAGATAGGGACTTTAGTTGAATTTGTATGTAAGTCGGAACAGGTACTTTTTTAAGTGTAACTCCAGCCCAAAATTTTTTTTTTAGTTTTGGATAGCATAGGTAAGGGTCACGGGTTTTTTTGCTGTCTGTTCCTGTTGTAGATTATAATATAACTTAAACTTTTTTTAATTTAAAATGACACAGCAAAAAAAGTATTTTTATATTTTTTATTTTATTTTATAAACTTTATTTTTTATTGTTTGCATTTGTAATTTTTATTTATTTAACGTTTTCTTTACTTTTTTAAACATTTTTTAGTCTTTTTTAATTTAATTTTTTTAAACTTTTTTTTTTTTGTATTTTAATGCTGGTAGCCATAGCCAGCCTGCTATTGGCTATTTCAAATTGCAATAGCCAATTGCAGGCTGGCTATTGCATCTGCCTGCTGTCAATCAGCAGAGGAGGGGCCTGAAGCAGAAAGTTCTCTATCAGGTCCCCCCATGCTGATTGACAGCAGACAGTGGGCGGGTGCAAATGGCAGCATGCTATTGCATTTTACAATATCCAATATCAGGCTGGGTATGGCTCCCAGCCTGCAATGAGGAATAGGCAGGGGGTGGGGCAGAGGAGCCGTGGCTGGCCCAAGAGAACGGAGGATCGTCCGGACCTGGGAAGCCGACGGAACGGCTGGAGAGGAAGCCGGCACATCAGCGGAGGTACGTGGGGCATCGGCGGTATACAGCGGTCTGTGTCCCCACTGCCTCTGCCAACACAGGTGCGGAGAGCAGCGGGGATTTGAAAGGAAACAGGCTGCTGCAGCCACAGTTCTCCTAAATGTACCGGCGGGAGGGAGGCACCAGGAGTTAACGCTGCCAAGGACCCTCCAACAAACAAAGGAGACCAAAAATCCAGCCCCTATTTACTAAAGGTTATATTTAAAAGATTAAATATAGATCCAGGGATTCACATCTGGGGGTCCTAGTATATATATTCAAGATACCCCATGATTCCCAGTAGAATGCACAAGACAAGGCTGGGGTATTTCTAATCGTTTAAGTGATAGACAAAAGTCAGCTATTGTAGGTCCCAGACCATGTAACATATCCATGGAAAGAGACAATTCTGATGCATCTGAATCTGGAAATATATCTGTCAGACCCTGAAACATTAACCTTTCGTCATATATGGGTGCTGGCAACTGAAAAACTCAGCTGCCGGTTGTGAAATAGCTGGGGGCGTCAGGTCCTTATCACTTAGCCACTCCGGCTCCTTCGCCACGTTCATCCCAGAGGCTGAACAGCAACCTGCCTTGTGGCCCGCAGGTATATAATATGCTGCAATGGTAACTAAGGTGTGCTTACTTGAGGCCAAAAGCTAATTTTGCAGTGAGTTGCCATTTTCCTTGCCGGAAGCCCCCTGGTATAGAATTGAGTGCTTCTGTAAGCAGGATTTCTCTCAATTTTCTCTTGTTATTTTTGACCTGTTTGTAATGTGTAACTGCCTTATGTAACATCTAATTTTTAATATGTACACTGTGAATACTTTATCCTTCATAATAAATCATTAATTTTAATACGTTTCTGCCTTTGTCTGGTATATGAACCATATATGTTCCTGAGGAGATGAATTTAATAATTCTATACCTTATATGTGTTTGACTAAATTTAAGTTGTGGGTCTCTTTATAAGTTACACGGGGGATTATCTACTAAATTTGGAATTGAATGTTTAACCAGATTTGGTTTGGTGGCAGCATTCTTTAGATTAGAAGAAGTGGGTGGTGTGTAAGTGGGACCTTTAATCATTATTTCCCAATCTAGTGAAGACAGATAGAGATTTTTTTAACCCTCTTAAAAAAAAGTGATGTGAGTGCTTAAAGTGTTGTGCATTCGTGACAGGGAAAACACAGACTGATGTGTCCAAGGGCTTTGAGGGCTACAAAATAATGCATGTGGCCCCTGGGCTGCAGACAGGGCACCACGGATATGGAACAAAGAACATTATATAAAGGTTTAGAAAATCAGACAACACCCTGTCTTCTTCCCTTATGAAACTGTACATACTCTCAGACACTTCCAGGAGGAAAAGCAATGTTTATAGCAGTGACATCTTACTTCAGCATAAACAATAGAGGTTAAAAAGTCTAACAAAAGAAAAAGGAAATTAGCTTGGAAAGGAGCTGCAACCTCTCTAGCAGTAAATATTGAAGCTACTTACGCTTTTTCCAGAAATGCATCTCTGGACATGTTCTGTGCCAGCAGATTTGTTGCCAGACTGAAAATCTCATCTGTCCACTCCTAAGTAGAGATAAAATAAACATGCTTTAGCTAAAGTAGGAAAGCCATAAGATGTTTAGTTTCATTGCTCTTCATAGCCTACCAAATATTTTATGTTGCATGGAAAAGAGAAAACATTGGGGTAAACATCATCTTTTGGTGCACCGCTTACCTTTCGACACTCAACAAAAACAAAAGTAAGTATACATTACTCGACACCTGACTTGAGTTATTCCTCACCACTGCTGCTCTGAAATGACTGCAATTTCAGGACAGACATGTAGGGGGCGTAAAAGCTGAGACACAAAGCAGCCTCAGATTAGTCTGCCTGAGCTAGTTCAGGTTCAGGGCCCATTCACACCACATACAGATCATCTCCAGACCAGACCAGATTGTTTCCGGAGCCAAAATGCACACTTATGTATCCCTATGCTATATCTGGCCTCTGTTCACATCAGAGCAGTCTATTCCAGACCAGACCAGAAAAATACTGTTTGTCTCATTTTGTCTGGTCTGGAATGCAATGGAACTGTGGGCAGGTTCACACCATTTTCCGGACCAGATGTGGTCCACAAAACTGTGTGAACCTGCCCTCAATCCTAAAAGGCCTGGAGATTTGTCTATGCATGTACACACACACGTAGCCAAATATGAGTAGTCCATTTGTTTAGCACCCTGGCAACTTTTCAGGTGTTACAGTTGTGATTAGATTTTAAGTCCTCCTGTTTTATGCCCAAGGGGTCAAGGATTTGGTAGAAAGTCAAGAATGCTTCTTACAATGGCTAATTGCCAGCTCATAGGTAAAAAACAATATTTATTTGCTCTACCTTTACGGCTAAAAACAAAGCGATAAATTAACTCAAAAATACAGAATATTCAATACTTGGTTTTTCTGCAAATGTTTGCTGAATGCCTTAAAGAAACATACTTATTTTGCAACCATGAGGTCCTTGTGTCAGTTCTCACCATGTACAAAATCTGCACAGCAGTTGGGTGCTCTCCAGATGTGTTGGGTGTTCTACAGATGTTTGTTTCCTCCAACAATTAAAAAAATATACCGACAAATTAATTTGCTTCCCTCAAAGCTGGGAGTGAGAGGTACACAACCAACAACTTGCACACACCCGGTAGACTTTTTATAGTTCAAGCTACCATTTAGGATAGGGTTCTCCAAAAGGGTAAATATTGACCACCCGGGGTTGAACAGGCTTACCAAGGGGTCAATAAAATGGCTGGGGGTCAAAAGGATGATACGTAAATGATCGGGGGTCAACAGGTGGTTGCTAAATGATGAAAGATTGATTGGGGTCAATTAATCCTTTCAGTTCTCTGTAGAGCTCCATGCCAGTCCCTAGTCATGAAGGTGAAGTGGCTAGCAGCAAGACACTGTTACCCAGGGTTGGATAGTCAACCACCAGTGAAAGAAGCCTTGAGTTGTCTCTATCAGCTAAGCATTTTTATTGGCCTCGTTTTTAAAGGCTTCTTTGCATTGTGTGTCTGTGACCTTTCACTCTCTTTAGTCCAGGAAGGATAAACATACAGGCTCACTTCCAATACTGAGCGTATAAACGCCAGAGCGAATAGAGTGTATCAAACTCCAATGGAGAGGCATAGTAACAGGAGTGGTACCAAATAACTGATTGCTGTGCATTTACTAAACATTTGGCATTGTAACAACCACAATGGCAGCTGCTGCTACCAAGAGGAAGTGTCAACAGTATTCACAGGCATATTTAAAATTCACATTCATAGATTCATTTATAAATGAAACAATGCCTATGTACCTATTATGTGAAAGACTTTCAGAAATGATGCCATGAAACCTTTGCTGTAACCTTCAATTTTTATATAATAAATGTTTGGAGGTCAATGAACAATCTGATACTTCATGAAGGGGTTGATGAGCTAAAGAGTTTGGGGACCTTTGGTTTTGAATAATATACAATCAGTGCAGTTTAGCAAATCATTATCATTAAGTCAAAATCAGGTACTTACAATAGCGGTATTTTAAAAATCATTTATTATTTGCTATAAACACAAAACTGAATGAATTAGTCATTTTTTGTTCATGTGTTCAGCTTTAACTCCCAGGCACCTCGCAAAGACTGCAATATCAAATTTGGTTTGACTGAACCTTCAACCGCTCTGTTAGTGCTAAAAAAATAACTTCTTCCTAAGCCAGCAATGATTCACAAAGATTCAGCAGCCGTGCCAAGCTTGTGGGTGATCATTTAATTCATTACCTCAGTTTACATAATGAGTCTTGCCTATTTGTTATGGTAAATATTAGCCATTTAAAAACTAAATTGTCCATGCAGAAAAGTGGAACTCTTCAGCAGAACTCACCTTGTAAAGATAAATGTTCTCCTCTATGACAAGCTGGCTCCTGCTATAGTGTACCTGCCTTGTGAGCAATGCTCATATTAGGTCTCTAGCAGTATGCAGCCATGGCGAGCTTTCTTATTGAGAGGGACATAAATTTAATTTACTGATCCAGTTAGAGGAAAATGGAGACATAATTTGTGGGTTTCTCATTATTAAAAACAATTGTGCTTTCTTGGAAATGCATTTGCAGGCTGAAGGATGGAAGGCCTAATAAAGGCTATGAGAAATATTGCTATTAATACTATGAGCTGCAGTTCGGTGTTATATATCCCTCAGCCTGTCTATTCATTCCAGATTTGCCAGTGCACACACTAGCCTGCTGCATGACAATTGTTCTAATATATCCATCAGCAACACATCATAGGGATTTATTTCCTAGATTATATTTCCACTTCAATACAACATGAGTATTTAGCATTTAAAGAGCAGGACTGTCTCCTTTGCTGTCTGGGACCTGGCTGGCAGAGCCTCAACTAACTTCAGCAGGGCTGTGAAAGACAACCCCATGTGTCACACACTTGTGAGTACTTTATGTATTCCTTTGTAAAACCAACTATGGAACAGTAGTTTTGTGCCCGGCACTGTCTAGTGCATTCTCCAAAAGAATGGGGAGCTGCTGATCAGAGGCAGATTTGTTTTAGTTTATACAGATACCATTTTAACAGATAAACAGTTTATACATGACAGCAGATTCCCAAAGCACTATAGGTTATCAAAAGAGACAGCACAGCAGCAGTTATTTCCTTTTAGGCACCACATCTATCCTCTGAACCAATGGTGAAGCTGTACAGTAATGGAGATTTAATTGCACTAACTCACTAACTCTTTTGTATCTGTGCCTAAATTTTAGATTGAGCTACTAAGACCTCGTATATAACAGACTGTTTACCAGATGGTAAGGAGACGGATAACAACATGTGAAAAGGAGATTAGAGCTCCATCTGCTGGCTGAATGAAAGACTACATAATATTATTATATTATTATTATTATTACTATTCAGGATTTATATAATGCCAACAGTTTCTGCAGCACTTTGCAAAATGGAGGGAGACAGTATTATTACAATACAATTTCAGTACCGTAGGGTTAGGAGGGCCCTGCTCATGAGAATATTAATTTGCATTTCATATTAATCTGGCTTAGAAAATAAAAAAAAGTAAATGTTTGTAGTCCTGTCTATAATAAATAACGAAAAGAAAATATACACAAAGGCACTACACACTCATTTGAAAGCGGAACTCTGAATTTATTGTATAAATTATGCCCCCCCCCCAATCCCAGCATATGCCTGATATATTTCTCATTCTGTCAAGGTGATTATCTAACAGAGGATTAGCTTACACCATTGTCCTGGAACAGCCGACACACTGGTCCTCTTCTCTTCCATCTCAGAATGTCCATGGGTTATCCAACACCATCATGTACAATGCAGGACCATTGGTACATAGATTGCAAGCCCTCAGGGGCGGGGCCCTCCTTACCATCTTGTCTTGAATTGTATTGTAATTGTAATGTCTTCCTTATATTGTAAAACGCTGCGCAAACTGTTTGCGCTATATAAAACCTGTATAATAATAATAATAATACCCACTAGGGATGCACCGATACAATTTTTTCAGTATCGAGTACGAGTACCGATATTTTTTTCTCTCGGTACTCGCTGATACCAAATACTGATACGGGAAGTCCCATTAACGAAGCCAGGCAGTGTGTAATGACTTGCCGGCCAGCTTCCTGATTACACGGGAAGCTGGGCGGTGTATAATGACTCACCGCCTGGCTTCCCGATTGGCCTGGAAGCCGTATCCATGCTCCTTAGTCACCAGGTGATGAGGAAGAATGGAGCCGGCCTTCTGGCCAATGAGGAATCCGGGGGAGGGGGGGGTATGGTAATGACTTGCCACCCAGCTTCCTGATTGGCCAGCTTCCCAACCTATCAGGAAGCTGGGCAGTGAGTCATTAGTCATAGATGAGGGATTATGGAGCCTGATTGGCCTGGAAGACGGGGGCGAGGCGTTACCTGCCCCCCTCGTCTTCCTGATTGGTGGGAAGCCAGCTCCATGCTCACTGATGATGAGGGAGCATGGAGTCGGCCTCGAGGCCAATCAACAAGCCGTGCAGCATGTAATGACTCGCCGCCCGGCTTCCTGATGCAGAAGTTCCGCTATCCGGATAAGCATCAGGAGCATTTGGTGGAGTTCGAGCATGAGCCCAAATACTCAGTATTGGCACCAATACCGATACTAGTATCGGTATTGGTGCATCCCTAGTACCCTAGTACTAGTATACTAGTATCGGTATCGGTGCATCCCTAGTACCCACCTTAGCAAGAAGGGAGGTTCATGGGACCGGTTGTCATTACTGGGCAGGGTTAAATAATCCCCTTTAAAAAGATGAGCAATATATTCTGTATCACCTGGTGGCACAATTTTTATAAATGTTTTACTACTTGTAAATGGGCTTTAAAGAAGAACTCTGGGAAAAAAGATTCTTAACCATTCCAGTACGGCTACCCCTGCACTGCAAGGCTTAACGTATTTTCATCTTGCAGCCGGATGTCTCTTAGACCACGCCCTCCAGCCTGCCTCCTCCTCCGCTCTAGCGATGGTATGTCCCTCTGAGCCGTCACGTCCAA